AGGCCAGATGTCAACCTCAGATGTCCTTCTGCAGGACACCATCCACCTTGTTTTTTTTGAGGCAAGCTCTCTCATTAGTTCAGAACTCACCAGTTCATCTAGGTTGGGTGACTAGAGAACCCCGGAGATGCATCCATCTCTGCCTCCCAGTGCTGGGATTACATGTGTGCCCCCACCATGCCCAGCTTTCTCCAGTGGGTTTTGGAGCTCAAACTCAGGTCTTTTTTTTTTTTTTTTTTTTTTTTTTTTTTTCCCCCGAGACAGGATTTCTCTGTGTAGCTTTAGAGCCTATCCTGGCACTCGCATTGGAGACCAGGTTGGCCTTGAACTCACAGAGATCCGCCTGCCTCTGCTGGGATTAAAGGCGTGCGCCACCAACGCCCAGCCAAACTCAGGTCTTCATACGTGCACAGCAAGCACTTTACCAATAGAGCCATTTCCCCATTCCTCTCATTCATTCTTCTGCTGTTTGACTCAACTCATCTGGTCAAACTGCTGCACAAGGAGATCCAGGCTCAATCCCAGCCCCTGTCCCTGCTCCCAGTATCTCTCCCAAGTCCTGCTGGGTCACTTCCACCTTTTTTTTTTTTTTTTTTTTTTTTTTTTTTTTTTTTTTTTAAGATTTATTATGTATACAGGTGTTCTGTCTGCATGTATGCATGCAGGCCAGAAGAGGGCACCAGATCTTATTACAGATGGTTGTGAGCCACCATGTGGTTGCTGGAAATTGAACTCAGGACCTCTGGAAGAGCAGTCAGTGGTCTCTTAACCTCTAAGCCATCTCTCCAGCCCCCACTTCCACCCTTAGTGCGTCCAGAAACTCTAAGGAGCTGGGGTGCTCAGCCAGCACGTACTGGACTGGGACCCTCCTCTGAACACCATGCAGGGACACCGCACACCTCCAGCATTAGAAGAGACCAGCAGCAAACTGAATGAGAGTTGTACCTTTAGCTTTATTAGAATATTGCACACATTGCAATAAATAATAACTTACTGAATCCTTAAACACATTATAAATAATATGGACATCTTACAGAATTAAATAAAAGCATACATCTATTTTTTCCTGGAGTAAACAGGAAGAGGCTTTTTCAGTGACCCTAATACATGAGTCACATCTCAACCATTTTGTGCTTTCTGCTTGTGTGGGATAGCAAAATTGCAGTATACATAAAGCATTTACTTTGCTTCTTAAGTTCAGTCACACTGAAAAGTAAGGCCCAATGTGTGGTTGGTTCTCATTCTCACTGCAATGGGATATCCCTTTCCTTCTCCAAAATCTGGCTACTCCAGGCACAGAAAGACGATCATGACACAATCTGATTCATACATGAGAACATAAGAAAGTTAGCCTCATGGGAATTGAGAGCAGAAGTGGGGTTACCAGAGGCTGGAGAGAATAGCACAAAAAGAATGTTAAATAGTTTGTCTTATGTAAATGATCAACGTTTGAGGAGATAGATAGTTTTAACTTGTCTACATAATATAAATATGAGTGGAGACAGTGTGTGGCAACCCTTTCTTTGTACTATTTTTGGATTTTTATACATCAGTTTAAAAATTAACTTCCAAAAAGATCTGATGTCATGTCTTCACTGCACCAGCTCAGCCTTAGCCTTCCATTGTCCACTCTGTACCCATCACACCAAGGAACTCTTGCAGGTAATCCAGGAACTGCCTCGCTTTCCGCCTCTCCTGGCCGCACTGCTCCTGTGAACAGAACAGACTGTCATAGGCTCCTGGAGAAAGAGGGGCAGCCAGATTTGCAGGGCTCCCAGGGAACTTACTTTTTGGCGGTCAATGTATTTCTTTATTAATGACAAGTTTTGGAATAGTATCCCCAAGGAACCCCCACGGACGGTTTGATTCTTCAGTATGTCTAGCCCCTGAAAGATTTCTCTGATGCACAGCTGGTGCTGAAAGGGGAAGATTATAAAAAAAAAAAAAAAGTAGAACAAGGTAAAGCTAGTCCACAAAGTACACGTGTTTCAGAATATCATGCTATATGTAATAAACACATGAAACTTAAATGCATCAGTATAAAAACAGAAACAAACAAAAAAACCCACATCATCAGAGCCGTGGCGGGGCTCATCTGTAAAGCCAGCATTAAGGAGGTGGAGGTAAGAGGAAGAAGACTTCAAGATCAGCCTCTGATACATAGAGTTTGAGGCCAGCCAGTGCCACATGAAACTGTTTTAAAAAAAAATTAAAACCAAAGTTAGGCTTTGGGCTAGAGAGATGGCCCAATGGTTAATATCACTAGCTGCTCTCCCAGAGGACCTGGGTTCAGTTTCCAGCACCCTTGTGGGTGGTTTGCAACCATCTGAGTCCTAGGGTTAAAGGTGAGTGGCACTACACCAGATGGATATTTCTTTTGAAATTTAGGCTGATGAGTCTCTTCTATTTAGAATAATAAAATCATGTGTTTTACACTAGAATAAAATATATTGCAAATGTATATAATATTATTATGTGCTCATATTCATTTAACCATGTAGAAGTTACTAATAGAGGGCATTCATTATATTTTTTATGCCTACTAATCATTACCTAAGAACATAGCCCTCTGGAGAGGTGGCTCAATGGTTAAGAGTACTTGATGCTCTTGCTGAGGACACCAGTTCAGTTCCCAGCACTCACATGATGACTCCCAACCATCTGGAGCTCCAGTCCCAGATGGTCCGATGCCCTCTTTTAGCTTTCGGGGACACCAGACACATATGTGAAACACAGACATATATGCTGGGAAAAACTCATACACATAAAATAAAAATAAATAAAAGGAATACAACCCTAAGTTTCTAGTACTTTCAGAAAGATATTAGAGTGGGCTGGGTCTGGAACTCACTGTTAGAGTGCTTATCCTGCACATGCAAAGTCCTGGGTTTGATCCTCAAATACAAAACAAGAAAAGGCAAAGAAATGCACTAGATGAAGAAAGCCGTAGACAGAACCAAACGGAGCCTAGCAGGACCTCTCACCAAGTGTAGAATGGTACAAAGCATCTTTGAGATGAGGCTCAGTTAGATGGAAGACTGACTGTGTCATTTGACCATTACAAAACAGATTCTGCTAGCTCACAGTCATTCCTTCCTTACATTGATTGGCTGGTGGCTTTTGAGTGTCACATAGCTGAGGCTGGCCTCTAGCTTAATATGTGGCTGAGAATGACCTTGAATCTCTGCTCCTCCTGCCTCCATTTTCCCATGGCATGCACTGCCATGCCTAGTTTCTGGGGTACAGAGGAATGAACCCAAAGCTTTGTGCCTGTTAGATGCTCCATCAATGGAGCTGTAGCTCCAGCCCTCTCATGTTTGTTTGTTTGTGGATGCAGGTTGTGTAATCCAGGAAGGCTTTGAATTTATATGTAGCCTAAACTGGCCTCGGATTCATGCTATGCTGCCCCTGCCTCAGGCTCCCAAGTCCTGGGATTACATCATTTGCCATTCTGTCCCTTATTCTTCGTATGTGAAAGCACATACTTTCACATCCACCCATATAAAAAATTTCAAATGAATTCAGTTTTTACTGAAAAGAAAATCAAACAGTTCTGATGGAAAACGAATGACTAGCTAGGTATGGTGGCACAGGCCTGTGTCGCAGCTCCTTGCACTGAGACAAAAGGAGCATTCAAACCCAGGAGCTTGGGACCTGGTGAGATGCCCACTCCAAACACAACACCACAAAGCAAGAAGCAAATGACTCGTAGCTCAGTGTGTGAAGTGGACTTATTCATGCAATCATGGCATCGAAGCATAACTTACATTTTTATGAGTAGGAACAGGAAGCCTCACCGTCTGCAAACGAAAGAGCGAAGGGTCATTTCTAAAGCATTTGTGGTTGTTTTAATACAGTGCTTGCTGGTTATGGTCACCTGTGCACTAACACTAACACATTCATAATTGCATTATTCATAGCAGATCTTTACGTGCAAGAATGAACTGTCATAAGTTATTAATGCTTAATTTTTTTTTTTTGAGTCAGGGTCTCACTGTGTAGCTCTGGCTGGCCTGGAACTTGCTGTTGATGGCCTTGAACTCATAGAGATCCACCAGCCTCTGCCTCCAAGTGCTGGCATTAAAGATGTGCATCACCACATCCAGCTATTTATGCATTTTAAAGACCCGTAGAGGCAGGGGAGGTTTCCTTTGTCTGCAGTCCTAGTATTTGGGAGACAGAGGCAAGAAGATCTCCTAGGAATTGCGATAGCTTGTTCTATATAGCAAGTTTGAGGCCATCAGGGCTATATAGCAAGGCCCTATCTTGAAAACAAAACTAAACTGTAGAAATAAAAATTGTACTTTACCTCGTTGCTTGTCAGTAGAGCTCGGTGAGTGGATAGCTGTATCAAGGTCTCTTTCACCACCATGCTCATGGGGATCTCCATAGCCATGGCCCAGACACAGGCAACAGTTAAAACACTCAAGTGCAGAAACAGTCTCATGATTCAGGAGTCTTCAGGGTTGGCCTTTAGCAAAGGAAGAGCGCAGGGCAGGGCTGCATCCCCTAGCAATTTATTCTCTCTTTGAGGAAATGAATAATTTCTAACAATCAGATAGAGGACACCTAATAAAGGCAAGTAGTGAAACTCAATGTTTCCAATGCCTTCCTTGGGCCTTTAAAAAAAATGCATTTTTTCTCATAATAGTAACTATCGCCATCCCCACCCCTGTTTAAAAAGCACTTTCTATAACAAAAGAAAATTTGTTTCTACAACCTTGATTCACATTTACACTCCACAACTTTGAATTTCTCTTTGAAAGATGTACAAATACAGCAAGTCTTTCTAGAGATGCCCACACACTCTTGGGTGTATGCTCTCTTTTTCATAAGCATCTTTTTTTAAACAAACCCCTGCTCCAACTTAAATCCTAACAGTGTTAAAAAAAAGATTCATTCCACCATATACCTCTAGAGAGACTGTTATGCTAAAATACATAAATATTTTATGTCTTCCTGGGTGCACACCAGCAGATGTGGGAAGTACAGTCAGGAGGATCAAAAGGTGAGGGTCATCCTTGGCTACATAGCAAATGTGAGGTCAGCCTGGAACACATGACAGCCTGTTTCAAACAACCCAAGAGCAAAGGGAGAGATGGTATCTTCTCAGTTGAACTAAACTCTACATTGACTGAAGCTAGAATTATCCATGCTTCAGAAAGGACTTGAAAATACTCTGGGGAGGACACTGATTAGAGAGTCCAGCGGAGCTGCATGACATGATATAGGTTTTTGATCAACATTCTGTCTTCTCTTGATAGCCAAAAGCCTAACTCAGACGGGTGAAGATAAGCAGAGGGCTTGTTGGTTCATATAACAAGCCGTGCAGGGTAGCAGCTCCTTCCTGTGCTGCTTCAGGGGCTGGCCTTGACCCAGTTTTCTTTCTTTCTTTGAAATTAATTTTTATTTAAATTAAAAACAATCTAATTTTACATACCAATCCCAGTTCCTTCTCCCTCCAGACCTCCCATTTCCCCCCACCATCTCCCTGGCCCAACCCATCCACTCATCCAGGAGGGTGAGACCTCCCATGGGGGATCATCAAAGTCTGTCACCTCCCCCATGTATCTAGGCTGAGAGAGTATCCCTCCATAGTGAATGGGCTCACAAAGCCCATTCTTGCACTAGGGATAAATACTGGTTCCACTGCCAGATGCCCCATAGACTGCCCAGACTCCCCAACTGACATCCACATTCAGGGGGCCTAGTTTGGTCTTATGTCAGACTGGGGTCTGTGAGCTCCCACTTGCTCAGATCAGCTGTTTCTGTGGGCTTCCCCAGCATGGTCTTGACCCCTTTGCTCATCACTCCTCCCTCTCTACAGCTGGATTCCAGGAGTTTGCCTCACTACTTAGCTGTGAATCTCTGCTTCTGCTTCCATCAGCTACTGGATGAAGGCTCTAGGATGGCATTTAAGGTAGTCATCAATCTCATTTTAGGGGAAAGGCATTTAAGAGAGCCTCTCCACTATTGCTTAGATTCCTAGTTGGGGGTCATCGTTGTGGATTCCTGGGAATTTCCCTATTGCCAGGTTTCTCGTTAAGTTCATAATGGCTCCCTCTATCAAGGTATGTCTTTCCTTGCTTTCCGTTCTTCTCCCAACTCGACCTTCCTGATCCCTCATGTTCTCCTCCCCCTCCCATTCTCCCTTTGTCTCAGCGATAAGACACAATGACATCTTGAAATTTGCAGATGGAAACTAGAAAAATAGATGGAACTAGAAAAATCCATCCTGAGTGAGGTAACCCAGACACAGAAAGACAAACATGGTATGTACTCACTCATAAGTGGTTATTAGACATAGAGCTAAGGATAACCAGCCTACAATCACCAACCCCAGAGAAGCTAAGAAACAAGGAGGACCCTAAGAGAGACATACATGAACCTCCCCACCCAGAATGGGAAAGAGACAAGATCTCCTGAGTAAATTGGGAGCATGGGGGGAGGAGAGGGAGGGAGCTGACCCAGTTTTCAAGCAGCTCTCTGGGGATCCCAGGGTGACATCAGGATTCCTGGCTCTCTCTTGTCACATGCAGCAGGAAGAATCAAGTTTTGCAATTCCCTTTCTTTCTTTCTTTCTTTCTTTTCTTCCTTCCTTCTTTCCTTCTTTCTTTATTTCCTTCTTACTTTCTTTTCTGGTATGAGTTTATTGAGACAAAGACTGACTATGTGGCCTAAATTGTGCATGAACATCTGCTCCTTCTGCCTTAGTCTCCCAAGAACTGTGTCAGCAGGCAGCAGCCTGTAATCCCATGTCTTGGGAGGCAGATGCAGTTGCATCTCTGTGAACTTGAGACCAGCCTGGTTTAAAAGCAAGTTCCAGGACAGCCAGAGCTGTTAGGCAGAGAAACTCTATCCTGAAAACCAAAAATTAAAAATAAATAAATAAATAAAAAGAACCGTGTCAGGCATGTCCTACCACACCTGCCTCCAGTTTTTCTTTTCTCATTGCTTAATCACAACAATTTAGTCCAACTTTACTACCTAGTTTCAAGGTGCAGAGAAATCAAGCTGGAACCAGGCTGAAAACTCTCCCCCAGCTGGACAGCACTCATAGTGCTGGAAGGTGTGTTGGCTGCTGAGGGGGAGTTGTATCAACAGTCTTATTTACCAACCGGCCAAGCAAGATGTGCTCTCTGGTGCACTAGTGCTAAGTCTGTTAGGGAGGCAACCAACTGCTTTGTGAGTAGATTTGAGGCCCACTCTACAGGAAGGAATACACAGGAAGCCTGGTCTAAGGTTCACAGCTGGGTCATAGGCCTGAGCAAGGAAAGTGTTGCTGTTGTTTTGCTAAATGGATATGGTGTACCTGTCAGACTGTCTTCTACTATGTGCATGCCCATAGATCAGTGCTGCTGTCAGCTTGGTCAGGGGCACTTCTTCTTAAAGTTATAATTGCAGAGACCCATAACTGGTCAAGGTGCTAAGAATGAGTGACTATTGAATGCTCAGCCCCCAAAGCAGGAGTCTCTATCACCCCCTCCAATGCTTGGGGAAACCCTGCAGGAAGAAGGGACATACAGACTGTGGTAGAAGGAGTGGTAGAAGCTGTGTGAAATGATGACATCTGGGCATTAGGTAGCTATTGTGATCACCTGCACAAGACTGGGTACATTATCTGCCTGTCATGGAGGAAAGAAAGGCTCATGGCCCTACCTGAGGATTTAGATACAGTTGCAGTTATTGGTTGATGAGTGATATGTCCTCTAGCAAGGTGCCGGTGGTCCTGTAAACAGCCCTAAAGAAACTCTTTTACCAGAAGGGAAATGAGAAGGTGGGAAAGAGTCTTAGTTTGGAAAGGATTAGCAGGAGTGGGAAGGGAACAAGAAAGGGAAATGGCTGATATGTCATCTACATGTATAAAAATGTCATAATGAAATCCATTACTGTGTATAACTGATTAATACTAATAGAAACATGGATTAAAAACAAAACAAAACAAACAAAAACCAGTTCAGATTCTAGCAAAATACGGTGCCTATGGTCTATAATCCTGGCATTTAGGAATTTGAAGCAGGAGAATCAGGAATTCAAGGCCAACCTCAGCTACATAGTGAATTTGAGGCCAGCATAGGTTACATGAGGCTCTGTGTAAAAACTAAAAGCCCAAATAGCCATAATATTCAAACAACCCAGCTTCTAATTGGAAAGAGAAGGGGATAGTGGGAAGAAGGAAGGAGACAGTAGGAATAAATATGATCAAAGGACATTATAAATATCACAATGAAACCCCTTATTTTATACAACTAACTTACACCAATGAGATAAGGGAAAGCCAATTTGGAGAGGAGGATTATGTATTCACCATGGACCTGTGACTAAGCCCATGGGATATACCACTTGCTCTTTCTGAGCTAAAAGTGGATGTCATCCCCTCTACACAGCTGAGGCATCATGGTAGCTGAGATCCATGGTAGTTGTAAGAGGTATGTAGACACTGGGAAAGAAACAAGTACATCACAGACTGATAGCATGTGGGCATAGCCTCTCCTGTATTTCCCCCAAGGCTGAGAGGTCCCTTCATATCCAGGGTTGGTTGTGCATGAATATGTGTCGTCAGGGGAACCAGCCTTTTGTTCCTTAGGCTCAGATCTGTAATCCCAGAATCAAATACAAATTCTTATGAAGAATCTTTTCCCAAAGCTGTGTATAGTTCTGTATGAGAGGCAGAGGGCACCGGAGAACAGATGCACCTATAGCATGCAGCCATCTGTGGCTCTCTCTCTCTCTCTCTCTCTCTCTCTCTCTCTCTCTCTCTCTCTCTTCTTTCCTTCCTCCTTTCTTTTTTGAGATAGGGTTTCTCTATTGTGTAACCTTGGCTTTCATGTACATCATGTATGTACTGAGGTTTGGACCCTTGACTAGACATGTCTGAGTTGAACACTTGAGAGGCATTCTCCTGGTGTTGTGGGAGAGATGCCGTCTCACTTCATTGGATCTGTTAGCAGTGAAGCAGGAACTACAGTAGGCCTAAAATGATGATCTCAAAACCCAAGCTTAGCTCTCTCGGGGCCTGGCTTCCCCCAGAGGTCATGAGACAATAATCCTATTTCCCTTCTGACGTCTTCTGGCTACACTGAGAAAGTGTGGGCTTAGATGAAGGCTTCAGGGGAATTGCCAAATAATTTGTAATTTTTGCAACTTCAACAAGGTTTCTGAGTGATTCAGTTCCATGACAGCACTGCACAGGCCGTGGAGGGAGTAGTAGATTGAAAAGTCCACATGCCAGCTAGCCTTTACTAAGCAGGGAAAACACAGCAACAGCTTACCATTTTTAGGGAAGTTAGTATTAGCCGGCTATGAAAAGGATGAAGTGGGCAAGGCCATACTTACAAAATGAAGGTGGTAAATGAAGTACAGCATAGATCATCTGTCTCAAAGTAGACGCTCAGCTGCAGCTCAGCTATGACTTCCAGGAGCTCAAGTTTCCAGACACCCAGTTTA